AAGAAATTTGACCAATAGTCACCTCTTTTTTTTGAGTGGACCCATAGTGGACTAAGGGGGGGGAGGCTGGCGTAGCGTTTGGGTTTAAAGTACAGCTGTAGGGCAAAGGCTGGTGGAAAGAGGCTAACATGTCTTCAACAATCTTGTCGCCTGAGTGCTTTTGGGATTTGAAAGCAGATAAGCTGTGAAATCTCTGCGAATGTATTTTTGTGTTTCATAATTAGACAAAACTACTCACCCACCTAACACCATTATATGGGTGTCCATATCACGTTCAGACGGTGGACTGACAGTTTGGTAATGCAGCTACAAGTACAGAATGATATTTACAACAAACAAACTAAGTTCAAAATGTCCACCTCCACTCCATTTATTATCCTAAATTAGATGCACCTGTTTGAGGTCGTTAGCTGCATAAAGACACCTGTCCACCCCATACAATCAGTAAGAATCCAACTACTAACATGGCCAAGACCAAAGAGCTGTCCAAAGACACTAGAGACAAAATTGTACACCTCCACAAGGCTGGAAAGGGCTACGGGGAAATTGCCAAGCAGCGTGGTGAAAAAAGGTCCACTGTTGGAGCAATCATTAGAAAATGGAAGAAGCTAAACATGACTGTCAATCTCCCTCGGACTGGGGCTCCATGCAAGATCTCACCTCGTGGGGTCTCAATGATCCTAGGAAAGGTGAGAAATCAGCCCAGAACTACACGGGAGGAGCTGGTCAATGACCTGAAAAGAGCCGGGACCACCGTTTCCAAGGTTACTGTTGGTAATACACTAAGACGTCATGGTTTGAAATCACGCATGGCACGGAAGGCTCCCCTGCTTAAACCAGCACATGTCAAGGCTCGTCTTCAGTTTGCCAATGACCATTTGGATGATCCAGAGGAGTCATGGGAGAAAGTCATGTTGTCAGATGAGACCAAATAGAAGTTTTTGGTCATAATTCCACTAACCGTGTTTGGAGGAAGAAGAATGATGAGTACCATCCCAAGAACACCATCCCTACTGTGAAGCATGGGGGTGGTAGCATCATGCTTTGGGGGTGTTTTTCTGCACATGGGACAGGGCGACTGCTCTGTATTAAGGAGAGGATGACCGGGGCCGTGTATTGTGAGATTTTGGGGAACAACCTCCTTCCCTCAGTTAGAGCATTGAAGATGGGTCGAGGCTGGTTCTTCCAACATGACAATGACCCGAAGCACACAGCCAGGATAACCAAGGAGTGGCTCTGTAAGAAGCATATCAAGGTTCTGGCGTGGCCTAGCCAGTCTCCAGACCTAAACCCAATAGAGAATCTTTGGAGGGAGCTCGAACTCCGTGTTTCTCAGTGTCTGCCCAGAAACCTGACTGATCTAGAGAAGATCTGTGTGGAGGAGTGGGCCAAAATCCCTCCTGCAGTGTGTGCAAACCTGGTGAAAAACTACAGGAAACGTTTGACCTCTGTAATTGCAAACAAAGGCTACTGTACCAAATATTAACATTGATTTTTCTCAGGTGTTCAAATACTTATTTGCAGCTGTATCATACAATAGTTAAAAAATCATACATTGTGATTTCTGGAATTTATTCTTTTTTTTAGATTATGTCTCTCACAGTGGACATGCACCTACGATGACAATTTCAGACCCCTCCATGATTTCTACGTGGGAGAACTTGCAAAATAGCAGGGTGTTCAAATACTTATTTTCCTCACTGTATGGCCGAGTGACATCCCGCTAATGGCAGGTCATGTCTGCGATGCCTTGTGCCTTCACAAAAGCCGTCAGCAAATAACGACTGAGGCCCTGTGGCTAACTTTAGCCCATGCAGCTCTGGTAACAGGCAAAAAAGCAACATATTAATCAACAGTGAAAATAATATTTAGCTGCAGTTCAAATCAAGGGCAGTGTTATGACACTGATTGTAGGTGCAACATGTCTCACAGCATCCAGTCTGCCTGTTGTTCATTAAAAGAAGAGGAGGAACTCAACTGTGCAGTTACAAACCAAACAAACCAGAAAGGTTAAATGGAGGTTGTCAAAAATACAATACTGCTACAGGCTTGTTAGCGGTTGGCTCAGTGACCACCTGCTAATGAGAACACTTGTTAGCATCTAACAAGCTACTGGCTTTTATAACTACATACTTTATATACAGACTGGTATGTCTTAAATTAGTATATTTTTATATCTATACAGAATATTTGAATGTTAATGATGAATCTAATGTGGTTTATATGACAGCTTTCACATTCTGATTATTGCATTATTCTTCTCCAACTCCAATTATTTCTAATAATTAGTGTGCACGTAAATATACTGTATGAATCCAGGAGCAAAACACAAATTACTTAACGTTCCCTGTTTTTCAGTTTTTTGAATTCTGCTGCCTGGCAGGTGCCACTGGTGGCGCTGGATGATATGAGAACCTCTGAGCTCTTCTCCTGCCGTTGCATTCAGAGACCTTTTGGATTACTGTAACACAGACATGAGTCAGTTGACAGTCTGCTCATCCAGCCTGAAGCAGCGTGTTTATTATTTTTATTTTATTCGGAGAGGGCATGCTTATTTTCAGCAACACCCTCTCTCACAGTCACAGTGAAATATATATTTACTCCTGTTAAAGTGCATTTCTGCTGGGAAAACATCTTCAGTGGCAAAATGAGGAAAGTGAAACTCCTTCTGCTACAATTAAAGCTGCAGAGGGAAAGCCGCCTTGTTTAATGGCACTTTAATATTAGCTGTGAGAGCAGGAAAGGCTGCTCTTCAACGTTATGCATAACAATGTACCTCAGCAGATGGACTATTTAACTTTTAGGTGAATGTGGCTGAGACAGAGATTTTTAAAGCAATTTAAAAAAAAGAAAATCTGAACTGAAATAACCCTAGAACTATAAAACCCTGCCAATTTGTGTGCATGTGTCTGCACATGTATGCATGCACTCCTCCGTGCATGTGCCATTTAACGTGAGCCTATGCCAGGCCTGCCCCCTCTGATAAGCAGGTCTGGTACACTTTGTGACTGTCTGATTGAGGTCCTCTAGGGAAGGCCGGCTGAAGTGGAGGGGGTAGTTTGCATTCTTGGCCATTTCATGAAAAAAGGGTGCAACCATGGGAGTAAGCCAAGAGGAGGGCTCAATTATGCATGGTTAAACAAAGCCCAAGGCTACCAGCAAGCAATGTCTCAGCAAACTCTGCCTCACTGTGGAGCTTTGGACTCCAGGAGGACCCTACGCAAGGAAAAAAACACAAACAAACAGGGACATAGGAACGTAGCTCCTGATAAATCACTGGATTGTGTTATGACAAGTGCAGGCACTTTGAAACTAAACTTCTCAGAGGCCTTCAAAACACTGCTTAAAAGAAAACATTCACATTCACACGAGGTCAAATGATACATCAGGGAGTTTACGTTACCAATAAACCATCTCGAGAGGTACGATGGCCTGTGAAGCAATCAACAATGACCTGCACCGAGCACAGAAAATGACTTGTTGACTAATCCTGGACATGATTTCTCCAATAAACGCAACAATAATTCTCTCAGGAGCTGTCTGTGTTTTTTGTCTAACAGCAATAAAATCCCACATAGCTATTTTATGATGTGGTTAGCCTCTACCCAGGAGTAATCCAGTCATTCTTCAAGAGTATTTTTAGTCTACGGAGGAAACAATCTAGTTGTTTTACAAACAAGTGCCTTTGCTTCATTTCATCCTGAAAGCAGGTTTCTAAGTGTAGCTAGCTAACGACACCTAAAAAAAGCCTAAATCATAATCAGGACTGTTAAAACAGCACTTACACCTAAACCAGGTCAGAGGCGACTTTTCCACAGCAAACCCCACAACTTCAGCAACTGGACACTCGGCATCTGGCCCCTCTTTCTTCAGACACACAATAAATTGGAAAGTATGTGGCTTTGGTTACATGTAAATTATAGGCAGTTCTTCCAGGGCCGGAGGGGGTGGGGTGGAGGATCAGTATCCATGTATAGTACACATATGAATGGAAGCAACCTGGCTAAAAAGCTCTTTCCTGACATCTTCCTCTTGTCTCCCCGGGAAACAGGAGAGGGCGTCTGGAGTCGGGTGTCAGGGACATCCAATAAAAAAAACACACACACACACACACACACACACACACACACACACACACGATCTATACTTTGAGCTCAAGAACAGATTTAATTACAGTCTTAGAGACCAAATAATGTCAGCATTTGATTTCCTGCTGCAGAGAGAACTGAGCTGCCCTTTTATTCTACTGAACAGACCAGAGGCGTGAGGACGTTTTTTTTGTAAGCAGCAGATGTTTTGATTCCCAACTATAACACCACCTCTGACATCAAGCTGGTGATACTAATGATGATTTTTCAGCAGAGACAGCACCAGCTGAAGCTTAGAGCAAGGCTGTAAGAAAGAACATCTTCAGACAGGGAAGGTGGGGAGGCTGGACAGAAACTGAAGCGGAAGCATTAGCACACGTCGCTTCTCTTTAATCACCTGCAGAGCACTAAAACATAAAGTGGCAAACTAACAAACTTGGTTTGGCTTGAGAACAACCAATTAGCCTGGTTCCAGACCACCAATCACCGCCGACATTTTCATTAATTCACATTTGTGTGGTGCTCTGCTCATTGATGGCTGTTTTCCCTGGCTAAAGAAACAATCGACCAATCAGAGCTTAGTAGAGATTAAGGATGACGCATAAACCTCCTCAGAGCCAGAAAAATGGCAAAAATTTCCATAACAAGGGCAATAAGCTTGAATGAGAGTACCAAATCATTTCTCACATTTCAAATCTACTACCTGCTACGGAAATGTCAAAATAGTTTGACTAACGTTCTGTTTTTTTTGGGAAAGGGTCATTATGGGAATGGCTTTGCTCACATGCCAGATGCAGATCCTGTTCCTGCAGTGTTCCCATTGTGGTGGGATACCGTCCACATTTGCAGACCATACGGTGAACCAGTTTTTACTATTATAGCACTATTTTTTTTTACCACAGTTTTACTTACCACAGGAGCAGCAGGTGAAGCAGTTAGTGTGATACAGGTTCCCCATGGCCTGGCAGGCTTGGCTGGCTCCGTAGACACCCTTCCCACATTTGACACAGATTCCTGTAGGACACACGTGATTGGTGAGTCAATGTTATGTATCCTGAGCAAAATACTTTGTATGCAAAAGCAGAATAAAATCATCCTACATCCAGTGTGGAAAGAAAATCTCCTGGGGATCATTTAAAGCACTTTGTCTTCATGGGATTTTAACATTGTTAGAATTACACCTCATTCTTTAGCCCTGAGGCAAAGCTCTGTGTGAACACTCATCTACCACTGCTTTATGACTAATGTTAAATGCTAACGAGTTTGAGATTGCGTGGATGTTGAACTAGCTGGTACTATTCAATGAAGATGTTGTCTGCTACCAGTGTGCTACCATTAGCAAAGCAAACAATTGCAGGACATGCTGCAAGCTTTCCTGACAGGAAACGCAGTGGATGGGGGGTGGGGTGGGGGGTGGCTGTCAGGGAGGACAGGCCAGAAACAAGGTGTGCGGGGGGACAGTGATGTGCTGCTACACAATCATACCAGAGGAAGAAACACTTCTGAATTGAATTTAGTCACTGCTGGGAGTCCATTCGTATAAAACTATGGTGTAAAAATATTTTGCACAGCATATAAATTAACACTCTTAATGATGAGAATGGTGTTATTCTATATTTTTGGGCCGGAAAAAAAAAGAATACATCTGGGAGCTTCAAGGTAACATACTGAGCAGTTGTAATTCATAGTACTGCAGTTTTACTGTAGTTTACCTACTTTGGCTAAAAGGCACCTTAACATAAGTTGTCAGGGAAGGATCTGTCCCAAATCTGTCCCAAAAGTCAAACGACTGCCCTACTAGTGACAAAGCTGCACTTTTACCATTAGGGGGAATGTCAGTCCATCAGTCCCATACCAGGATGTATAGAGGATGATTGATGCCCAGCTATCCACAGGTACACGAGCACTACTACATAACCCGAACAAAAAAACCTCAAAGAGCGTAATGACCATTAGTGAAGAAATGAGACAGGGTAGGAAAAAAAAAACAAAACAGTGGGTTAAAACAGTTTAGATGCAGCGGCAGCAGCAGACTAACGATCTCCAAACTCTCACGCACAAGACGACCTCCACTGGGGTCACATTCCTCAGGGAGTGCAGGGTCAAAGCCTGGGTGGGGTGACTCCAGGGTCACAGTGCCTACAGGACACAAGATCCCAATAGGGAGCTGCACCCCCCCACCCCACCCCTCCCATCCACAGATAAGTTATTATATTCACTTATGTTTTAAATAAATACATATTTCTGGACGTATTCAAAACAAGGAAACACTTTCTGTGAGATAATCATAGAATTCCCAGGCTATCAGAAGCAATAACCGCTCCAGTGCACTCTGGGACATTGTAAGGAACAGATAAAGGACAAGGTGAAGGGAAAACCACCTTAACCTAAAGATTAAAATGTCTTCCCTTTAAACTTGAGGTGTTTGCACAAATTAATTAATCTGAATCAAAGTCAAATATTGGCGTTTCCTGGTGTGACCTAAACTCATGACTTCACTCATGCACTCAACAAAAGATAACAGAGTGAAATGGGCGATAAACTGCGTAAACTTCAAATGAGCTTAAACAATTTCTCCAAAATAACACTGCCAGAACATTTATATTTTTACCTAAAAAACTATTAAAGTACTCAAAGGCCACTTTGTAAATAGAAAACTTTTTTTTTGGTCAGATGGCCATTACCAAAATGTTTCTTAAGCGTTAATTCATTTTCTTCAGGCACAGTTTACCTTTTAAATCATGTTCTGTATTGTATGAAACACCGCAGCTGAATATGGGTCGAGTGAATTACACTCTTACAGCTTCAATCATTATGAAATCTAAGCTATTTGTCTATTTTTGTCTGACTAATCCTAGCTCAGATTACAGTGTGCGATGTAAATGTTAGTCACTTCTATGTTCTTTGTGTATTGACGTCTGTAAGTATTGTCATCCCTGCGCCCGTCGCACTCGTACTCTAAGACTAAAATGTAGGCTTGACACAAAGGTTACTTCCAGAATTTCAACATTAATTCGCTTGGACCCACCAAGTACACGTGACTTACTCCACATCTGTCTAAATGCCATGAAGCAAAGTTAATGGTTCTCTGTGTTACACCGTTGACAGTAAGTGGACTAACATAATGACAAATATTTGACAGTGGAATTTATATTTCAGTGAACAACCTAAGACACATGTAGATGGGAATGAGTCAGATGTGAGACAGGTGTGTACCCAGATAACAGGTGTTCGTGTGTGTGTTTTTCACCCGCTGAGCCCCATGTCACCATGTGTCTATCCTAACGCACAATTATCTACATTCATGATAAGGAGATTCAAAAAATCCTTCATTCTTTTCCCCACAGAATGAATCTATGAACATGCAATCGCTGACATGGCTCTTTGGCTTTGAGGCTCTACCCAACGGCTAAACTAAAACAGTATGATTTATTTATAAAGCGACATCGAGTTACCTTCCTTACTTTATTCCCTCTGGTTGCAGCTATACTGCAGTTTCTTAAAAACTGCACACCACATGTTGGCACGACTGTGAAGGCCTCATTTGTCATCATGGAAACATTCTTTGATATGAGGAAACCACTGAAAACGGCTGTAAAATGGGAAAAACATCATAAAAGAACTACCTGTGATTTCCCCACAAATGCTAAAAGTCAGTGTCTTATGAGTGAGGATGTGGTTGTCATTTTACAGGAGAGCTGGAAACCCGTGAAGGACTTATTCATTTAAAAGAGGATGCTGAATCCCTCATGTGCACATTTCACAACATGTCCATGTGGCAAGGACAGGATGTTGTGCATTCACTGGGGTTAAAAATAAAATGGCACGACTTGACACACAGACATCCCTGCACTTTTGAACTAGAAACACTGTTGTTGACATCCAGCCATGATGTTTGGTTTTTCAATAGCAGACGACAGTAAACTGTGGGGCTTGTTATGTGATGAAATGAAAACAGGGGATGATCGCAGTATGTCGGGATAAAGAAAAAAAAAAAACATTTAATGTTATTTTTGAAATAGGAAATGTAATGTGGAATACCAAGCATGTGATGTGATATATTAATAATAATCATTCTTTTTCTACCATCACTGAAGACAGCACAGAACGTGCAGCGGGTTGTAAGAAGGTTTGCACAGCCCGATTCATGAAACTTTAACAACCACTCGGTGTGACTTCTTTACAGCACAATATCAAACCGATCTCCCAAAATACATGCAGGTTATGTGAGAAGTGTCAATCAAACAGATGAATGGTAAAATTTACACGAGGGATGAATTGCACGTTTCTAGTTTGCGGAACCAAATGCTGCAAAATACTTTAAAACCTCTGCACGTCTGACTCAGTCACTACACGCGGAGCAGGATCATGCATCTTCCTAGTTCAAAATAATCACGATGCAAGAATGCAGCAGTTTATTTCAAAATCTGCAGTAAGTAAAAAAAAAAGGCTAGCAGATAGCCTTTATGGCATCAAAGCCTGGAGATGTGACGTCATTTCAGGAGAGAGGTCTTCACTTGTAAGACATCTGAGAGCATTTGCCGCATCAGAGCATACTGAAGGCTTAAAACTTAAACGTGAGAAAATTAGACATCTCACGTCAGCTGCAATTTGTACAGTCTACAAAGAGCATACAGTGTGCCGCCGTCTACAAGTCAGCGCGTGTGTGTGTGTGTGTGTGTGTGTGTGTGTGTGTGTGTGTGTGTGTGTGTGTGTGTGTGTGTCAGGCATGTGCATGACTACTGCCATTATAATTCTGGGCAGGTGATCAGACTTGACCCCCACCAACTATGTCTGGCCCGCCAGCCAAGATCGTGTGCCAAGTGTCTGGTGTTGCCCGACTCCCCACTGGCTGGTTAATGAAGGGCTTCGCGGGGGAGTCAGGGCGGGGTGGCGGTGGTTGTGGTGGAGTGGAGGGAGGAGGAGTGTAAGGGGTGGGGTTGGCCTCCCTCTGCTGCTTCAATTGCAGGCATATATCTGGCCAGCTGTTGATTCACAGCTCGTTCGCCACCACAACAAACAGAGGCCACACAAGGGCCGGACCCGGGCAGTGTGGGACACCAGCAGGCTGTGCTTAACCACCCCAACCCACCCCCCAAAAAAAGCCTCAGCAATCAATTTCTCCACTGTCGCTACGGAAACACTGCTGTCTCTATTGGGCTTGGTGTGAGGAGCGTCTGACTGCATTCCTCTCTCTCGCCATCTCTGTATAATCCCACCCTCCTTGCGCCCCCCCCCCCCCCCACACTTCCTCATTTCTCCCTCCTGTCTTCTCTCACCTGCTTCTCTGGAACAAATCAACAGCCGTCTCCGCCTCACTCCGACCAAGTGCACAGGCTATAAAACAAGCCACTGTTCTCTGAATGCAGCCATTTGTCTGGCTGCTAATTCAAAAGGTGGACAGCAACTTCCTCAGCGGGCTTTCTGCGGCTGTGCTACTGCCGCTGAACACAAATACAATTGGTCTCACAGTCCCTAATCACAAAAATGTCTTGAAATCAGGCAAAAAAACCCTAACAAATCACTGACCACAGTCTACTCTCCGTCCTCAAGACGATAACTGCATTTTCATCAAATCCAGACCGCACTGCTCTGAATGACCGAAGGGTGCCTGCTCTGGCAGAACAGAAGGTTCCATTCAGCGCTGTGCAAATGTTAGCTCTGCCAAGATAGAAATTAGTATTGCCCTCCAAAGCCACTCTTATCTTCCACAGAGGGACCTGTTAGTGGTAATGTAACATTAGCAGGTTGCAAATAGACCTTGAAGAGATGACAAAACTATAAACAAAAAACTTATTCACTCAGAGAGAGAAAGTTACACATGACATTTCACACTACTCGTACTATTACACGTTTGTTCAAATGTTGCCATGGATTATTCTTTGTATCCAGTGGGAAAATATGACAGAAATAACAGAAAAACACTCATCAGTGCTTTACACCATATGCAGGAGGAAAACATGTTGGTTTGACTGATCTGGATCTTGGTTCTCTTACCTCTCTGGTGATCCAAGGGCCACAGAACCAAACCCTCATCCAATACAACACACAGTATCGATAAGAGGAAGTTTATGTACTAGATAGTTAATATTGGGTCATATAAAAACTCCAGTGGTTTTGACTTCCCTATGCTAAAACTGATTCTGCAACATGGATGCTTGTTAACATGTTTTTTTCCTTTACAATTGTGTCTACAAGTACTGAAGACATCAGATCAAATAAAGGTTCATTTGAAAACAAACCTGCCATTAATATAATCACCTACCAAAGTATTCCTTTTTCATGTGCATCTCTAACTCCTTTTCCAGCTCCAGGGTGAGCGCCTCCAGCCGCCTCTCAGCCTGGCTTGGCCCACTCTCTCGGCTGGGGGTCACCTGGTAAGGCAGCTTAAACCTCTGGCCTGATGAAGCCGTTTTCGAGGACACCCCGTAACAAAATGACGATGGCGACCCCACGGTCATCTCCGCAGTCCCTCCCGTGTGGGCCGACTGCTGCTGGGGCTCTGGGACCGCCGAGAGCCCCTGGAGATGGATGCGATTTTGGATCCCGTTGGAGTCTCCAAACTCCTGCAGCAGCGTGTCCTCGTGCAAACCGCTGCCCAGCATCGATGACCTGGGTGAGGGCAGCTGCAGATCCGGGTAGGTGCTCATAGACCCCCTGGAGCTGCGGGAACTTCTGGAGCTGTGGCTGGAGATGCTGGACCGGGGACTGACCACGCAGTTTGCGGCGGTCCCCGGTCTTGCGCTCCCGTCCTGGCTACAGATGCTCGAACGAGGACTAGCCAGCGGCGCCGAGTGTAAAATCGCCCCCTCCAGATCATGGTTGACCACGGGCCCGTACCGTGAGTCCGAGTAACTGGATCTCGGGCTGGTGGTGAATGAGTACTGGCTTGCCGTGCTCGACCTGGGGCTGTTGTGCCTCTGGTCGTAGCCCATGCTGATCCCGCTGGTGCGGTTGCTGCTGGGCTTGCTGCAGCAGTCACAGCTGTTGAGGCTGGCCCGGGGGCTGGAGTGTTTACTCGTGTCGCTGGCGGTGCTTGCATAGCTGGATCTGGGACTGAGGACACTGTTGCCCTCACAGTGAACTAAACTAGATCTGGGGCTCGTGTACCTGTCCTGGCCCGGTACCACCAAACTAGTGCGCGGGCTGCTGATGCTCGACCTCGGGCTGGCATGCTTGCTCTGCTCTTGAGAGGACAGGGAAGATGCTAGGCTGGACCGGGGACTAGTGGCGTTATATCTCCCGTCGTGGCTGCTGGTAATGCACACACTGTTGCACCTGTTGCCGGGCAGAGCCACGGGTTTGTTGAGAGGCACGCCGTCGAAAGCGGAGCCGGTGCTGTACCTGTGGCCCTGCACCTCCAGAGAGTATCTCCTGTGCCTCTCGGAAGCGCCCGTGTAGCACGGCAAAGCCACTTCGGATTTGGTGCAGCAGCCCTCCTCACTATAAACTGCGTCTCTTTGAGGGGCACAAAAATCCACAGGAACGGTCCGGTTGCAGTTCACAGGGCGCACCGGAGCTGCGTTGTACACTTTATTCCCAGTCGTGAAATTCTCCACTGTGTGATGCTGCTGGTGAAGCACAGAGGTACCATTCATTGGCTTACTTTTGCGCTCTGCTACTGCCGGAGCCGAAAAGTCTAAATCGGGGTTAATCACCAAGTCTCTCCTCGCGTTGTACATCTCGTCTTTATACGCATCATACAAGGAAAGGTCCTCCATCAATTTACTGGCCCGGAGTCCTAAATCTTCCTGATAATGCTCCATGTTGTGCTCCCGAGGCGAGAAACAAGTTTAGTGTGCTCCGCTCCGCGAGCCAAACTAGCGAGCACCGCGGAGCACTAATTGCATTTCACATGGAAATCAAAACAAAACGCCGCGGTACAGCCGTCGCTCATTTACAGAAAACCACCAATGTGCTCAGAAACCGCCAATGTGTGCCGCATCGTCTTCTTCTGCTTTGCCCCCTCCGCCGAAAAAACAAACTCTTTCTCACAGTTTCAGCCGACAGGGATACGTTTGTCAACTTCAGTTTTTGTTAAGTTGAAAGGTCTTTACAGTCAATGGCGCGCTGCGCGGAGGAATTTCCCCTTGTTGGTTTTTCCTCTACTTTCGCTTACGGTCGCTATGCCAGAAATCAAAGTGGGCTGCATAATCGGATACGCCATAAATATCCGTTGTATTTAAGTCCGGACTCACCAAGCGTACGATAAGCTAAGAAAAACACCGTTTTACACAGGGGACTCGTTTGCGTAAAAGGAATGCGGGGATGAAGACAGGATGCGCTGCGCCTCTCTGGAATGTGGTTAATGCTGCAGAGAAACAATGATTGCGACCAACTCAGCAAGGGGCTGCCGGCTCTGAAAAGAGAACAGTTTAGAGAGAAGGGGACGTCTGCATTCATCTCAGTCATTCTAAAATACCGCACAAAGCACGCCTCACCTGGTCCGACTCCTTTTACACCAGGAATAAACTGCAGTGAATTTGTAATATGGAGGGCAACGCTATTTAAAACTCAAGTTTATCCACCTCTTTTAGTCTGATAATATAAGATAAATATTTCACTTGGTCCCCAGACTTAAGTGTATATGATCCATCTGATGATAATGTCCAATTATTAGAGCCAACTATAGGTCCTTATAAGAAGATTATGATGCCGGTATAAAGTAAAAAAAGACAGGCCTACAAGTACTACTAAGTATCAAAGACGTGATTAAATAAAGGATTGTTCTGAGCTGCATACAAATAGTATATTTCATTTTAAATAGAACTGAACTGAATGCAAAGTGTATGAGTCTTTTAAAAAAAATGGAAACCAAATAAAAAGCTGTGGGGGAAAATGTTTAAATGACCACAAATGAAGGCCATGGTCAACTTTGTATTTGGTATGTTATTAGTGGGTTACACAGATGTGCTAGCAGGCCTTCTTAGATGTTCTGTAGTCATTATAAACCAGACTACTAAATATTAATTCTTTATCATGGGTGTTTAACATGACAACTATTTACCTATGTAAAAAAAACAAATCACATTTGGTGAACAAGGTTTTATTCATTACAGTTTTCAGAAAATTTTACAGTTGCACAAACAAACAGCATTAAAAACAGTATAAGTATTTGCCCTCAGAGATGTTCTTTCAAAAGCTAAATGTTGTGGGGGAAAAAGAGGTAGCATTTCACATCTAGTCTTTGAAAGTGACAACAACTATAGGAAGTAAAATTAAGACAAAAAAAACGTACAGACATTATTTGATTATTTGTATAGTATAAAGGCTGAAGCTCCTGCCAATAGACAATTTTCAAAATAAAATATGCACTTGGACCTTTTCATATTAAGACTTCTGACTTCTGAAGCAGTCTTGGCACATATTGGGAAATGTCATAATGACATTTTTTTCTTTAGCTGTTCCTCAACTGCCAACAACTGGAAGAAAAGAGAGAGCCACAGCAAAAAAGGCAGCAACAAACAGGCTGTCCAGTAGCAATCGACTGAGGAAAGAGCTGTGAGATTTTTTCCCATGGCCTCTGCTTCTAAACCACTGTACAACCTCATCCAGGTTGTGCTGCTGGGGCTCATAGCCGAGCTCGGTCTTAGCTTTTGCAATGCTGAAGTAATGTGTCACACCTGTTTTATACACCTCTGTGCGTGTCAGCAGTGGCTGGAAGTTATAGAAAGGCCCGATGAGGTGGTGAATCATTTCTGTGAGAAAGGCAACAAAGTAAATGAGAGAGACAGGAAGGCGCAGCTTGGGGAACGGATAGCCCAAGCCCTCTACCAAAGGTCTGAAGAATTCAAAATTGTTGACAGGCCTGCCATCCGAAATGAAATAGGCCTGGCCGGCAGAGCGGTGCTGCTTCACTGAGGTCAGAGCCTCTGCAGCAAGCTCATGTGCTGACACCAGGTTGTCCACATGAACAAACTCCACCAGGCTGCTGGGTTCACCATAAACAAACCTGAAGATCCCCTTCTCTATAGCCAACTATCCTGGGCAGGTGCCTCTGCTCACCAGGCCCGTAGATTCCTGCTGGACGCAGTGCACAGGTTCTCAGCACCCCGGAGCTGTCATTCAAGGCTGTGCCGTTAGCTTTTAGCACTGCCATCTCAGCAAGGGACTTGGTTCTGGAGTAGTGGTCAGGGTGAAGATGTAGAGGGAGATATGGGAGGCTTTCATCCCCATTCTCTATCACTTGGCCTCCGAACACCACGTTGAAGGTGCTGGTGTAAACCAACCTGGACACTCCGTGCTCAGCACAAGCCTTCAGGATGTTCTGCGTGCCTTGAACGTTCACCGCCTCAATCAGGTGCCGGTTCAGCTGCTCCCTGCCAGACATGCCGTAGGAGGCGATGTGGAATACACAGTCCACACCAGTGACAGCCCTCTCAACTTGTGAATACTCACGTATATTCCCTTGAATAAACACAATGTCCTCAGGCACTTCTTGGGTCGGAGGGCCGTGTCAAACAGAATGATTTTGGCTCCCTTTTTATGCAGGGAGCATGCCAGGCTGCAGGGGAATACATGTTATTACATATTAATTAACCTCTGTATGAAACGCAATACATCCATTTTAACATACAAAATTGTAAATCTATGACAACTGCACAGTTCTGTAGCAGTCAAAGATCCAATCTAACTGGGATAACTTGTGCCACACTGCCCCCTTGCTGACAAAATAGTGTGACAGCACTGTAAGGCAACTGAAATAATTACTGTTCCTAAAACAAAATTATATTTCTCTTACCGATACCCAAAATAGCCACATCCTCCAGTTATCAAAAACGTGTCTGTACGTGCATTTTCCATCGCGAAGCAGCGAATCTGTGAGTTGGTAAATGAGGATTAGACATATCAGCCTATTAGGGAAAAGAAAAATACACACAAATGCATCCTCACACATGTCAAAATGGTACAGTACAACTAAAATGCTACAGAGTTGATGTTAGGCCTCCTGACCTTGTACATGAGTAACTAGACCTTTTACGCAATTAGCTGAATGCACATATTTCTACGTGGACTATGTACCACAGCTCGCAGCTCAGCCTACCCAGTTCACAGACTACCACACTAAATTTGCAATGCGTCAAGTAACAAAGTAGCATTAGTGTTTCACAGCCTGTACTCTAAACTAGAAGTTCAAGTGTTCACTGTCGGTACCAACCTCAACATAAGCCGGGCAGAAAACGGGCGAAATATCTGGTAGGCCTAAATATGACTCGTGCAAAACTCTACTATAGCACAGTGCACCCGGCATGTGCTTCCTTGGTCGGTGGTGCCTTTTTGTTACGTAATTTACGCAAAAACTGCCGATATCGCTCTACAATTGGATGCGTCTCAAAATGGCCCAACTCAAGCAGCTGCGTTAAGTGAACGTACAAAGAGGCAGATCAACGCCGGAAGTAAAGCGTAAAAGACACTCACAATGTGAGGTATAAAATAGTGATTTGGGGATTGACGACTGCTTTTAATTGACATTCATTCAAAAATCATATTTGGATATTCACAGCTGTATAATTTTCAAATAAGCAAGTGAATTTATGCTTATGATTTTGAAATAGTCATGCATGCCTTTTCATTTAGGTGTTCACCCGCGAGGCTTTTATTTTAAAACTTGTCATCGGATGCCGTGGTCTTAATTACGTTAGCTTATTGCGCTCTGCCAGCATAAATAACTGGTTTGCACCTCGTGCCTTCAGAATAAAAGCGCATATCTTTTAAAAAATGTTTTTGAGCTTTGTATTTAACTCGCCCATTAAACGAAAACATATATCACGTGTCAGAAAAATACTAAACTCTTATGTGTAATTTTGTAACTGCAAAGGCTTTGTTATGTAGGCATACATCTCATCCTTGATTATTAATGCATGGGCTACTCTCTTCCCTTTCTATTATTCCATCTGTAGTTATGTAAGAAAAAAAAAACAGTGACATTTTAACAAAACAAATGGATTCTGTAAATTGTTGGTTGATAGTGTTAGTGGCATTGTGTTAGTACAACTATTCAGAATCTGAATCTGAATCACTTTTAACGGACTACACATACAATTTGACTCCGGTCTTACATTGTTCTCAGTGTACATAGACTAACAGCATAAATAAACAGGACAACAAGCTCAGCAAAAACAGACACAAACTACCATGTACAGACACACAAACATAGACAAAAACAATAGCCTACTATTTGTAGACAGACAGACAGTATTGTAGTAGAGCAGAGTGCTATTGGTGCTCAAAATAATATTTTTGTGCAGGTATTTGCATGAAGGCCAACGTGAGGTAGGTCGTTATGGGTGATACGATACATTATGCCTTACAATATGAAAAGCTTCTGAATTCACAATTATGTATAAATAGTAAATAGGCTATAGTATCTAGATGTCGGAGTCAGAGTCATAGGGTTTGTTCCTGACACTGTGTGTCTGAAGCTGGTCTGAAGCGATGGTCTATCTGTTCCTGTGGCTGATTTGGCGTACAGTGCTCTGTAGCGCCCACCAGAGGGGAGAAGAGTGTTAGGGTGTGATGGGTTTGCCTTGATGTTTCCTGCCCATTTCCTGGACATCTACGTCAAGTTTTACTATCAGCCCTCCCTGAACTGCAGTATCTACGCACAGCAGCAGCTTTACCCACAGTCTGAAGGTAAGAGGTATTTTTTTAACGCTGGTCCAGGTGATCCGAGATTGGATCAATAAATTAACGGGCGCATTATTAAACGCAAGTAGGCTACTGAACGAAATGCTGGCAGCAAGGGCGGGCGAGGCCTATGTGTTTTACTTTCAGTAAAGTGTTAATATGCGACATGCGTTATCTCATCTTTTTGCAGGGACCGTCTTCGGTTGAAAAGCGTAGCAGTAACTTCTGGTAGCTACACTTCATTCAGCTTGCAGCTTTAGATTGCACTTCATTTAAATAGTTTTAAGGCTACGGATACGAATAACCTATAGTATAACTGCAGTTATTAATAGAAACATTTTTGATATGTAAGCAGTACTGAAAAGTAACGAAGTAACAAGTAGGTCTACTTCTTTACTGTAACCGTGGTCAGGTCAGCCGCCGTTTGATTTCTGTTGCGCCTAAAGCATTGTTATTATGGTAAGGACGAGGCGCGAGTGACCCGGAGGTCCTGAAAGATACATACGCGTTTTTTTTGTGATGCTCTTAGTGATTATATGAACACAAATACATACAACATAAATATAATAATATACTAATAACAATAATGATAATAGTAGTATAATTTATTATTATTTGTTATTGATGCAAATACAAAAAGGTACCTTTTCTTTGTTATTTTGTGAACATAATTTATATGAAATTTGACCTTTCACCAGCGTAATTCCTCAGCAGTTAGTTCAGCGTTATCATGGCTTCTCCTTACAAGTGTCCTCTACTATCACTGGTACAAATATCATAAGGTTTTACTGTACAAGCTATGAGATATTGCCCTCTAAAAATCCGTCCAACAGCGAAAAATTCAACAGACAATTATAATCTCTGTGAACTTTGACCTTTGACCAAAAAAGTTCCTTAATAGGTGACATATTCCTTGTCATATCAGTTGGTGGTGTCACCTATTAAGGAACTGTTTTGGTCAAAGGTCAAAGTTCAAAGAAATGTTAACTGTCTATTTAGTTTTCGCTGATGTAGGGGTTTTAGAGTGCAATTTCTCCAAGTTGGTACAGTAAAATGTTATGATGTATGTACCAGTGATAGTAGAGGACACTATGAAGCAGAAGATATGAAATTGGTGGTGTCACCTATTAAGGAACTGTTTTGGTCAAAGGTCAAAGTTCACAGAAAATGTTAGAGTGAGTTTTTCATATAAATTATGTTCACAAAATAACAAAAGATTTTTGTATTTGCATTAATGTCATTATACTACTATTATTATTAGTAGTAGTAATATTATTATATTTCTGTTGTATGTTTTTGTGTTCATGGGGCGGCGCGGTGTTGCAGTGGTTAGCACTGTCGGTTCATAGGTTCAAACCCCGGTTGCCCCGGCCTTTCTGTGTGGAGTTTGCATGTTCTCGCCGTGTCTGCGTGGGTTCTCTCCGGGTGCTCCAGCTTCCTCCCACTCTCCAAAGACATGCAAGCTAGGTTAATTGGTGACCCTAAATTGTCCTTAGGTGTGGATGTGAGTGTGAGTGGTTGTCTGTCGATGTGTGGCTCTGCGATGGACTGGCGACCTGTCCAGGGTGTACCCTGCCTTTTGCCTGATGTCACCTGGGATTGGCTCCAGCCCCCCGCGACCCTGTACGCAGGATAAGCGGTTGACAATGGATGGATGGATGTTTTTTGTTTTTTCTTATAATTAGTAAGAGCATCACAAAAAAATGAAAAGCGTATGTATCTTTCAGGACCTTCGGCTCACTCGCACCTCGTCCTTACCATAATAACACTGCTTCAGGCGCAACAGAAATAACGGTTTCGCAATCGGCGGCTGACGTTACCGCAGTTTACTCTAGGACTTATGTAGCTTTTTTCGGTTGTCCTATCTGTTTTTTACTTGAATAGTTTTAGTTGTTGCAACTTTTTACTTTCACTTCTTTACATTTGAAAGACAAATATCGACTTTTTACTACATTCTGCACGAGACCTCGTTACATTAGTCGCTTATACAGCGCTTATACAGAGTGGAGCAGCACAGAAAAACAAATGTAAAACTGATAAAGCAGACTCGGCGCGAATCAGCTTCGCCCAGCTGATACAACACTGGCACACACAGTAGCCTAATGGTCCAATGCAAAGCTGGACGGTTCCGCCTCACTTTCCTTTTCAAAAGTGAACGCCATATGTTTAAAACATTGATGAGAGGATGAAGAGGGACTTCTAGGCACGAGAAGAGAAACCAGCTGAGAAGCGCAGCTCTTGTCTGTCTGTGGCTTGGTTTCTTGCCAGACTGTGACTGAACAGTGTTAGAGTGAAATACAACTGTTTGTTACTTTTGATAAACGCAGATAAGCCACGGTGTTTAAAAACTGGAGCTCGGAAGATGACCGTGTTGCGCGTGGTAATGCGTTCATATGCATGTCCAAGAAATTAAATTCAAGAAATTCTAGCAAGAAACATCTGTGGAACCAGTCCAGACAGAATGTGAGGGCACTCTTCATACATCTAAAACATTTAAAACGAGACAGTGAACTTTAGTTACAACTCTGGACTAATGCAAGATGGGAAGCAGTGAATTCACGTTGACTATGGTGATTAGCTGGACCGACAGGACAATATGGATGCACATATAAGCATCATATTATAAATAGTATTTTATATTTGAAAATGTATTGAAGGAAACCTGGAGGAGTTGTTTGAATGGGCCTGATGCAGCTGATAACATTGATATATAGAAAATATCTATAGCTGTGGTGAAGTTTGTTATTAGAGTAAATGCTGGATCATCAGCCAGAAGAGATTTCTATTCAGGCTTCTTACAGAGGGATGTTTGTAGTGAGAGCTTTGTGGTGTCAGGTGTGACTGTGCTCAGCTGTAACGTGGCTGGTAGAGTTTTGCAATATAAACATCTAAAAACTAAAGCCAACCTTGCTCTGTTTGGGACTGTGAGCTGCACTTTATGAGAGGTGCTGAAGTTAATGTGTGTGGATTTTTGGTGAGATTGTCAGTTGAGAAGTGTTTCAGTTAGATTTACAAACCCAAAGTCCCAAATGGGGTTCTGTGTCTGTCAGAAGGGGATACTACCACACCAGCAGAGCAATACTTATCCTCCCCACAGTATAGGAAATATCCACTTGTCCTCTTGCGACTCAGTTTTCCTTAATGTGATTCACTATAACATATAATGCTGTGCTCAAACCTGCCTTGACTGAATTTAAAAAGAGAGATTGTGTTTTGTAAGATCAATAGATTAGAGTGTGTAGTACTTTTACTTTTGATAACTTAAGTATTTTTAAAACCAGGTACTTTACTTTTACTTGAGTAACATTTTTCGTGTGGGATCTGTACTTTCACTTAAATATGAAAATTGAGTACTTATTCCACCACTGGATGTAAGTATGCCAAGCTGTTATTGTTTTAACTTTTAAGACATGTGACTTTGCATAATGAAGTGCAACTTTGTAACCTGTGGATGGGTCCTCATCATCTCTGTTAACGATTTATAAAAGTTTTAATCTTTAACTAATGGCTTTACTTAGTATGCCTTAAGTAAGGATTAGAAATTGTTCATTTCATGTCATGTCCTATATTTTACAGGTGAGATGAATTTGGAGGAGTACTTCAAAAGAATTGGTTTCCATGGCTTATATGATAAACCGGATCTCGCAACACTGAAGTTGATCCACAAACAGCACGTCATGTCAGTTCCATTTGAAAACCTCAGCATTCACTGTGGAGAGAGGATCACCATGGACCTTGACCTGATATTCAATAAAATAGTGAGGAGCAGCCGTGGGGGTTGGTGCCTTGAGAACAACTTTCTGTTTGGCTGGGTGCTGAGAGAAATGGGCTACGACACTACGACGTTGGGCTCCAGAGTGTTCAACAGTACCAGCAATGAGTTTTGCCCTGGTGAAACTCATCTCGTCAACAAGGTTGTCATTGATGGAAAGGCTTACGTCGCAGATGTAAGCTTTGGGGTATCTTCACAAGTGTGGGAGCCCCTGGAACTCGTCTCTGGAAAGGACCAACCTCAGGCAGCGGGAGTCTTTCGTCTTATAGACGAGGGGGACATGTGGGTGCTGGAGAAGACTGGTAGGAGGGCAGAGGTTCTCAATCCAGACTTTGCCAAATCCAGTCTGGTGGACAGGAAAGAAACAAAGAAGATCTACGGCTTCACTTTGGTACCGCGCAAGGCCGATCATTTCTTTGAGACAAACCACAAACTCCAGACAGATCCTACTTCACTGTTCACCAACAAGTCCATCTGCTCTTTGCAAACCCCAACAGGATTCAGAGCCCTTGTTGGCTGGACCTACAGTGAGGTCATCTACAAACCTGAGCAAGGCGTTGATGTCTTAGACATGAGAGATGTAACAGATGATGAGATAGAGCTAATTCTGAGGGAAAAGTTTAATGTAAAGCTGCAGAACAAACTGCAGTCTGTAAACAAAACAGCATGCTACACAATCTGAAAAACAAGACATATTCTGTTTTAAAATTGTCCTGAAATTAGGCCACAACCTGTGTTGATTTCATGACTGAGACAAGCTACCCGCAGCTTGTTCAAGAATCTGTTTCAAAAATTAGCATTGCCTTTGTTGATGATCATTATATAATGACTGAACTAATAATAAACAGTACTTAAAATGTGTTAATCCATTTCATTCATTGCCATGTTTGCAGGTCCAGAGTTGGGAAGTAACTGAGGAAATTTAAAACATCTAGTATGACAACAAAAAAAGTTAAAGTCTTCAGTAGAACAGAATGGACAGTCCAGATGCGACCAAGACTAATTTATATCTAGAGTGATGGACAGGTGAAAAAGAAGAGATGAGCTCATAATGAATATTGTTACCTTTAACTGAGGTTAGATGTTCTGTTTGAAAACACCACGAGGCAATGTCTATTGTCAAAGAACTTTAATGAATCCTTGTCCGAGCATAATTGAACTCACTCTAAATTTTCTGAAAAGCATGCGTATGTAAACTGAACTGTTATGGTCAGTGCAAAGTGCATTTAAAACTACATCAATGAACAAACATATTTAAACTAATTGCATCTGCATTTGTAATTGTTGACTATTTCTTCTCTAATATTGTGTTGTTGTGTATTATTGTTATATATTTTGTTTGTTAAATTAGATGTCTGTTTGTAACATTGTTTACCCCAAGAAAAGGGTAAGGGGAACCATGGAAAGGATGTCAGTTAGGCTAACTCTTACTGGCCCCAGAAACAGCACCATCTAGAGGCCCCGAGCTAGTGGAGCAGGGTGGGCGGGGCTTTAGCACTTTGTACCGCCTCTTCTTTGTTTTACATCCAATGACGTTAGCGCTTATGACGCCTCCGATGCGGATTGGTCTATACGGCCTGTCCTTCAGGTGAGGGGCACAGCCAACAGCAGGCTGCTGGGACTAAAGCTCAGATATGAACTCCCTGGAACAGGCCGAAGGTAACCGATACAGAAAGCAACTTAAATTGTCACACGGTTGAATAGTTCCCGATATATTTTAGCTTTGTAGCTATGATCGCAAAGGAATTCAAAAACAACCGTTTTAAAAAGGGATCACAAAAGCTAGGTGCAACGCTGATTTAGCAGGCTAGTCTGCTTAGCATGTTTGCTAGCCTAACTGACAGTAACGCTAACGTTACACATTCAGTTGTTCATATATGCTAGTGCAGATGTTAGCTAACGCGTTAAGTCTGTTGTTAAGTTTCTGTTGCTGTCCGGGAAGTGTGTATATTGACAGGTCAGTTTTGCCAGCAGTCACTGTGTCACAGTAAGATCGAAGATAAACGTTGTGGACATTTAACAGTCACGCTTTGTTTCTGTCTTCACTTCACATACTTGAAGTAACCTCTAAGGTACAAACTGTAATGTTAGCTGTAGAGCTGAGGTTGATAGTGGTTATGTCAGATATATGTCAGATATCACATATTTCACAGAATTGATAAGATCAGTTTGCTAGCTCATACAGCCATGATTGTAGGTCCAAATCATGGTCCAAATACAATACTTTTTTAATGTGCCCGTTTTTGTTTCAGACCTGAAGGCCTTTGAGAGAAGATTGACAGAATATGTCTCATGTTTGCAACCTGCAACCGGCAGGTGGAGAAGTAAGTAACTGTTGGTGGTGATTGTCAAAATCATGGCAGAGAAAATGTAGCAGGTCACATGGTACCAAGTTTTTATATGCCAGAATCAGAAGGAGCTTTACTGCCAAGTTGTGTTTTACACGTACGAGGAATTTGAGGGTCTGATTCTGTTGTCTTGTTTCAGTGATTCTGATAGTGGTGTCCGTCTGTACGGCTACTGGGGCTTGGAACTGGTTAATAGACCCCGACACACAGAAGGTACGTATTAATGGACAAACATGACTAGTTCTGTAATTCAACGGTTCTCAAACCTTTTGGCGTCAAGGACCCCTAAACTGACACACACAGAACCCCATTTGATAATATTTTGTCCCAGGATTGCCCATCTGATAGGATTTTGGCTTTTAGATGTTTTATTCTAGAAAGTGTATGAAATCTCAAAATAGTCATACATTTGGTCACTATGTTTCTTATGGAGGGACCCTTTTTGCTGGGCACCCACTGGAACCCCCCGGACCCCACTTTGAGAACCCCTTGTGCAATTTATGGCTTAAATGGAAATGCCATTAAAAACAGAACATACACAACAGTAATAAATGTGATGATTCCTAATGCAGGAAATACAACATTGAGACTATAAATGTATCCGTTAACAATTTTTATTGCGGTCTATTGATGCTGATTCTGTGAGCTAATAGATTCTTTGACATACATTTTAATATGAGGGCTTACAGCTGTGAACATGTTCCCATATCTTAGCATTATCAACCCAGGCTTTAGCTAAATTTCAGACTACAGAACTATTGCTCCTTGAAAGTATCCATGTGTTTATAAGTAGAGCTGTTTTTCTTGGACCAGTCTGGACATGGTTACGTTTTATGTTCAAAACAAAACCTTGTCGTGAATGTACGACCTTATGCTGATCGGCTGATGTGTAGCCATTGTCTTTTTAGCTTTGTTGGCTCGCACCAACACCACTGGGTAACTAAAATGGCAGACAGGGTAGAATCACACCAAAAGGGTTGAGGACCCACCATCACCCCACACATTCAGCTGTATTATGTCATAATCTAGCTTTTAGAGAGGCTTCTTCTTGTCTCAGAGGTGGTGTAATGAAACATGAGGACATAGAAGCTGTGCTTTAAGCCAAATCTCTGGTGTCCAACAGATGATGCCTTTTGAATTATACAGTGAACAGTTTGGAGAGTTAATGTTGTGGGAAAAGCTCAAGAAATGGGATACATTTATTTTCGCATGTTGTTCCCTCATTAGAACAAAAGGTCTCAGGCTGACGCTGACCTATACAATTTAAAATGTGCAACTTTAGGCTTGATTTCCTCTGTTATATTTACTTCAGCCTACACTTAAATATGGTTGTGGTTATAAATATGGTTATGCTTATGGTTTGTTCCTCTGCAGGTCTCTTTCTTTTCATCGCTGTGGAATCATCCCTTCTTCACCATCAGCTGCATCACTCTCATAGCTCTTTTCTTTGCTGGGATACACAAACGAGTTGTGGCACCATCAATGTATCCTTTTGACTGCTGCAATTAATATGAAGTATTAGTGGTTTGTCAGACTTACAATTCCAGCAGTCCGCTATCACACATCCAATGTCAGCCACTGCCAGAGAAGTGTATGCAGAAAATGTTTGGCTTTTATAAATGATTCGTTCCTGTTCAAGTTTTTGGCTTACTGGTTAACATCTTTGACCTTTGCACCTTCAGTATTGCTGCCCGCTGTCGGACGGTTTTAGCAGAATACAACATGTCCTGTGACGATGTGAGTTAACAAATCTCTTTGATTTTGTGACCTGTAATCTGCTCCGACAACTTGTATATTTTTTAAAAATTGTTACCACTTGTTATGCTTCCGCCTTTTTACAGACGGGGAAACTTATTCTCAAGCCACGACCCAACATCCAGTAACCACAAGCTTGAGTGGGCGGGGGATCACACAGTGTACTCCGTCATTGTTGATAGCGACTGACCACTTGGCGTCTTGAGGCCTTTGGGTGGTCTGAACAGCACCAAGGGGAGCAGCACTGAGGCAATGGAATGCGTTTGGAAGAAAGAAGAAATGAACTGAAAGGGCCTTTTAACAGAGTCGCTGAGCTGACGTGAAGCTGCTGATCTGCTCACATGATATATTTTACTCCTTCAGTGTGAGTTCAGGTGTATTGTATCTCTGTTTCTGATGCTGAGCATGTGTTTTATCTAAATGTTTCTATTTTTAAAGATATTTACCTAATAAATACTTAAGGTGTCGAATTATGTCCGCTATTTATTTCTGTCTTATTAGATTTAAAGCCTCTGTCTGTGATTTTATTTGGTACTACTACAAAATCTTATGTGTGTTGCGTTCCCGTGGGTTTGCGACAGGTTCTCTGCTTTCTGTTCGCAAAGACTGCTTTACGGCAGAGGGAAAAATGTTCCACATGGCCTCAAACCAGGCAGGAGCTGGACCGTGTGTTTGAGGTTTGGAGTTACGCCGGAGTGTGCAAGATTAAAGTCGCGTTACATGCGCAGTTGGCACTTTAACAGAGGTAGAAATGGGTAAAAGTAAAACCACTAAGTTTAAACGTCCGCAGTTCAACGCGGTGGGGCTGCCGGCTAATGCCGTGAAGGAAGCCGAGCCTGAGGAAGAAGAGCACGGGGATGATAGCTGTCCAGCTGCGGAGTTGCTGGAGAAAGTAGGAACACTGTAAACCTTTTTTCTCACCAAAATGATTGTCAAACTGTCATGTAATGTCCTTGTGTAGTGGATCGGCATTTAAACATTTCAATGACACAAACCGGGAGAGCTATCCTCACATCTGAGTTGTTCAGTCCAGTCGTGAGATTTAACTCACTCTTATTTAGGCGTTTGTTAAAGGTCTAACTTGAATGAACTTGGATATGGTCCAAACTGACAGATTATATACATTTTTTTACTTGTTCCAGTGCAGCTAGGGTTAATGTTGGGGCTGCAACTAAGGAATGTTTTCATTGTCGATTAATCTGTTAGTTGTTTGGGTTATAAAATGTCAGAAAATAGCATATAATGTCGATCAGTGTAATTTCTTGTTTTGTCCACAACCCAAAGATATTCAGTTTACTATCATAGAGGATTAATTAAGAAGCTGGAATACGTAATGATATGAATAATTTTTCTTTAAAAAAAATGACTCAAACCGATAAATTTAATAGTTGATAACTAATAGATTATTCAGTTAATCGTTGCAGCCCTAGAGTTGCTCACTACAGAGAGTCTGACACAGGTCAGTTTATATAGTTAGCGTCATGTTTTGTATCTGTGTCCGTAGTTGCAGAGTCCCAGTGCGGATGTGCGAGAGTTTGCATGTGCCAGCATTTCTCGGGTGGTGCAGCAGAGTCAGACCATCCCAGGTTTCCTCCAGAGGGATGCTGTGAGGCGCCTGGGGCCCATGCTGCTGGACAGCAGCCTGACTGTCAGGGAGACTGCCACCGGAGCACTGAGGTGAGTCAGTAGTGCTGTGGAGTGGTGTGGATCGCACCAACAGAACCAGTTATGATCTTTAGAACCCCCCCCCCCCACACAACAAGTTTGTGGCAACTACATGTCACTCCTACAAGGGACTACATTTTTAACAAACAAACAGGTCATTGTGTGTAAGGGAGAACAGACCAAATGAAAGTTAGCAGGGGGAGAAATGCCCAGTTTGTTTCCTGTATAATTTAAGCACAGTGTGCTGATGTCTGTAAATATAAGAACCTTCGGACTGAGGCACGGATGAGCACACTTAGTGTGTCAGATTACCTGTCAGGTTTTACTATGAAGAAACCTTTTTCACAGCAGACCCTTAACATGTCATAGCAGAAAATGTCCAGTGCACATTATTGAATTTAATTAGTCTTTTCCGCCTCTACAATCAAGATTGCGTTCAGTGTGAGATTAAAGGGCATGGGGTACAGACGTATTTGTCATGTTCCATCTGCAGGAGGCGCCATGCCACAAGGAAAGGTCTGCTTGCAAGAAGAAAGATGACGCTGTTAGGTTTTCATGCTTTGGTGACTGATGTGATCACTGTCTTATGATGTATTCTGTGCAATTATCCACTTCAGTTTATTTATGTGGGAATCTGATCACATTTGCATGTTACATTTGTTTAACCTCCAAATAACCTCCTCCAAAACAAAAAGACAAACAAGAGCTTCATCAGTCGTGATGACATTTGACAGCAGTTACAACACAACACCGATCATCGCCGTCATCATCATCCTCTTCACAGGCGACACTTTATTTTTGTATTGGGGTACGACCACAACCCCTGTCTCCACTGTTGTCCTCCAGTAAACCTGAAGTTAGGTTCTGTGTACTGGATATCAAAATGAGACAGTTGCTCACAGGACACCTCCAGGCTCTCCATCTCACACACACACACACACACACACACACACGGCATCTCTGACAGCGGCTCTTCTCCGACCTAATGATGGCTGTGTGTCTGGGCCTGTCTCTCCCTTACAGGAATCTGAGTGCATGTGGAGGTCAGGAGGCGTGTGAGGACATGGTGAAGCACGACGTCATGACTCCTCTGACAGCACTGCTTAGAGAGGTGAGACACTGTTTTCAGCTCACCCCATCACTTGAGTTCCTCCTCATCAGCAGCTGTTGCAGGAGGCTACGATATCAGCAGCAATTAGGCCTCATCCCAGAGCAAAGATATTCACAATCTGTGAAAATCGCTCACTCGAACAACTTGACTTCTGGCATCAAGCTCAGTGTTGACCAGGGGATGAGGTCAATACTCTTCAGACTGAGCTGTGTTTCCATAATATAGAGTTAACATTTTGAACCTTTTTGGATGGATGATGGCAAACTTCATACCTGTTTCCCTTGTGGGTTTGTCGCCTTTCTTTTCTTTTCAGTGTTGTGCTAGTTTTGAGAGCGCTGTCGTGCCGATGAAAGACCAGAAGAACGCAGTGGAGGATGTAGCCAACGAGGCTGTGAACCTGCTGTGGAATCTATGGTAAACAAAGGGCTTTATTGTGTGTTTTTAACCGTAACCACTTAGATTTTCTTAGTTCAGAGGCTGTATTCACACCAAATCAGGTGACAATTAGCGCAAGGATGTGTATAAATATCACTACATGTCCCGTTTGTGTGATGTGTGTGTGATGTGTGTGTGTGTGTGTGTGTGTGTTGATTGTAGCACTATTGTAGATTGTAGAAATACTAAGCAGAAATCCCAAATTGAAGAGCGATAAAACGCCAAGCGGCTGCACGGCGATGAACATCTTTGTACTCCCTCATGTTTGCCAGTTGCCATCAGTCTCTCTTCCATCTTTACATTTGCTCGGTAATAGATGGAGTGCTACGTGGTAAACAAGGTTCTTCTCCATCGGGCGTCTTTTGGTCTGATTGCGGTCCATACTGCTGCAGCCTAATTGCACTGTCCACATTCAAATTAATGGGAGGGCTGCGGTTTTCACCGCGACGCCTGATTTGATATGAATAGAGCCTTAGTTCATCTTAGAAGTACAAGCCCACTTCTTGACACTTTTTACTGCCATCATCCATAATTATTCATGCAAAAAGGAGGCACAGCGTCTGTCTGTGTGCATTTGTTTCTTGTCTTATACCTGCCTCTCACATCGTGTTGTCCTTTCAGTGAGAGCAGCAGCCAGGCGCTGTCTGTGTTTAACAAAGCGGGTCTCCTGGATGTGGTCGTTCAGTGTCTGGAGAGACACCCCTACAACGTGGAACTGGCAATATCTGCTGGTATGTCAAACAGATATACTGTTATTTGGTTATTAAATTTAATTTCTAAAGGTGTGTGTATTTGTGGCCATGATATTCCCAACTTTAATTTTTTGTCCAAATATCATGGCTGGACATACTTCCATTTCTGCAGGTCCAGTTGCCATAAAAGTGATTTTATAATTTTAACCTTTATGAAGGAACCTATCTTGCAGGACTATTAAATTATCCTGCGTTAGTTTCAGCTAGGTGTGCGTAATGAACTGTCAACTGAGTGTAAATGGACTTTTTGGGAAATATGCTTATTAGCTTTCTTCCCAAAAGTTAGATGAGAGGACTTGTGTGTGTACGTTAACTATGACACTAAAGCTAACAGGTGGTTTGAGTAGCTTAGGTAAAGACTGGAATCTTGTCGTCACCAGCTGAGACTCCAGGAAGTCACTGCACCAAAAGTCTGGCACATAACCTGTACCCATGCTGTTTTACACTTTGGTTTGGTTTTTGTACAGAATAAATAGACAAGTGTGTTACCTTTGGACAGAGCCAGGCTAGCTGTTTCCCCCGACTTTTATGCTAAGCTAATAGCCAATGTACACACCATGCGGCTGCATCACGGTTCCTCCTCTGTCATGGCTGCCAGCGATGATTTGACATTGGCAGACAAAATACATGAAAATACAAATTTGTGACAGCAGCAGTACTGTGAGATCGGCTGTATTGTCATTTAAAATGAGCGATCACATAGATGTTTGGAAGTAACAAAAGGATGTCATATTCAAGTACTGCCAAAAAGCTTCTGTTACCACATCTACATGAGCCCCAAAATGTGTATTTATGGTTATAAATCACAAAAAATCCACTCTAAACTGTAGAGTGAATGTGGCTTCTGAAACATTTCCTATGTAAATTAAATCTGTGACAGAGCCGGACTGCAGCCAGATGCAGATTCATAACTGGCTTCTAGCTCTAGGTTAATATTCAATTTCCAGGATATTATGAGAGAGGTATCAATTTTTTTCATTTAACACTCCAAAGCATTAAGTATATTTCCCAAAATGTCAAACTATTCCTTTAAGACAACGTACAGCCCATAATAACCATAGGTTCATGTAGACATGGGGTGAAAAATTTTTATCTTTGCTTCCCGCTAAAATAGACCTTACAGAGATTAAACATATTGCCACATGCTGCGCACGACAATATTATTAATATTCATAGATGTTGGTATGATGACAATGTGTAAATGAAGTTGACAGTCTCAGCTCTGTAATGTATGAGGCTGATTACAAAAATGGCTTTGGACGTGTGAACTAGTCATTGACATTACAAATGTCCTGGAATAGCTATTACTGTGTACACACACACACTCTGTCCTTCTAAATAGGGCTGTCAGAAATCTTAAAATTGTTGGGCTTAGTCAAGGCTGACTTTTAACATTTGGCTTCTCAAGTATGAGGAAACAGTTTTGAAGTCCCTCCTCTCTGTGTTTGGCCAGCGCACTGTTTGCACACTGTGACTGAGGATAACCCAGAGCTGCTCTGTAGCTTGAACACTGCTGTGCTTGGAGTCCTGGAGAATGCGTTGCTGTCATCTCAGCCAGGCATGGCACACACTCTTCTCAGGGCCTTGGCTGCAGGTACAATTTGCCACGTGTCACGTCATTTCAAATAAATTGTTGCAAAATGTAACTTCCTACCATTATACAAGCTGAAAGGGACGTTAAGTCCTCTGTGGACAGAAGTTGCTTATGAATTTAAAGAACAAACGCTGCTATTGATGAATACTGTAATGTTTTATAATAAGTGTTCCTGAGCTCTAAGACTGCCTGCTGTGTCACTCAGGGACTCTGTGGAACATGAAGGGCAGTTTGCCTGCTGCCCGTCAGGCCCAGACCCTCAACGCTGTGGTGGCCACCTTGTCACAGTGCCTGGCTCTGGACACGGGTACGCTGATACCTGAACTCAGACAAGCAGAAGAGGTTCGTCACAGAAACACACCAACTGCACCAGACATAGAAGACGAGGCAGCAGGAGAACTTGCTGTGGAGGAGATGGACGAGGAGGAGGAAGCTCCTAAACACAAGAGGAAAGGAAAATCTGTGAGGGCTGATAACGACTTCTCTGACCTCTTGCCTGTAAGTGGTATCTCTCATATAGCACTCTATAGGAGTTCATCTTTGTGCTTATAGCAGGTTGGGAGCTCCTCTGGCCCTACAAGTTGACCTTTGTACTTCTTAGTGAGATTATGAACCTATGACCCAGCTTCTTTTCTTGGTAGAGCAAGACTAATGAGTTGGTTGTGCTATGCTGATATGAACTTATTGCATATATATATATATCATAGTAGTATTGTGGTGTATATGTAAAAGCAAAATGAATCTGCCCATATATCAATTTTTTTAAAACTCATATGTACATTGACTGCAAAAATCCAGTGAATCCAGTTAATTGCGTCAAAATTCTAAGAATGACATGATAATTTTGCACTTTCTCACTAACAGTAACTACTATTCATAAATGTCTCTAAGTGTAAGGGAAATGCTTCCCACTGTAGGCTGAAAAAATGGAGACTAAAGCTTCAATTATTGATACACATTTTATAGGACAATCACAGATGTATAACAGTTGAAATTGTTGATGTATCTTTCTTGAACTCATTTAATGTTTTTCTAAATAATTACTCAAATAGTGAACAAGCTTTCCTCTTTCAAATCGAAGCATATATAATGGATGTTTGATGGGTCGTCATGGTAAAGGCATATATTGGGATTCATGACCCCTCTGGAGGCCTGCTATAGGCTGATTCAGAGCTTAAAGAAGGGCTTTTTGGATGGACATAATTGTAGTCCTTATTTACACTCACTGCAGTCTCCACTTAGATTTTACTTAAATCTACTTTGAGCTTCTCTAAATAAGTGTTTTAAGTGCTACTTGTTACCATGATTTTTTTTATTCATAAGTCAAAGTTTAGGACTATTCTTAAGAATGTTTTTTAGAAGTTGTATACATAGCGTCCAGATCTTTTCAAGAAAAAATTTGGACACTTAAAAAAATTTTTTATTTAATGCAGTCTGTATATAACAAGTTGACTTAAATAACAACAACAAAAAATGGATTGCACGGCTCTCCATGGTATTGTTTCCCCTCAACTTGAAATGCTGTAAATTTTAGGATGGGGTGTGTACAACAATCAGTGTTTATGGCAACAGAACTATCCAGTTTTGTATTTTGAGGCACATGGTAATGCCAGGTGAAAAGGTGGCGTATGAGTCATCCTGGAGCGCAAGCCAGACTGACAGAGCAGACAAACTGTCGGGTTCAGGGTAGCGGACTAGGGACACACTCAGCAAGGTTCAACTAGGGACCAGCTTCTGGCTTCCACCCCGCTGACATGCCCCAGACCTGACCCCGGCGAGACAGAGCTGTCCTCTCATCTCAGTCACAGCCAGAGCCGGAAGATTGCGGGTGACATTCATGGTGACTTTCCAAAACACCCTGTAAAATTGTGGGTTATACAATGGGGTTATCTCGATCTAAGCTTTAGTTTTTCTAGTTTAGCAGCGTAGATATACAGCTATAGAAAGCATTTCTCTGTTGCAACACTGCTAAACAAACACACAGACACAGCTGTTAACGGGAGACTGGATAGAAAAGCTCTAGTTAAACCTCATTTTCCCGTCAAAAGCGACACCTTTGATGCAGATTTCACTTGATTTCCAAAAAAGTGCAACTAGGCACGTTTGAGTACATCTGAAGAAATGACTCTCTCCTTTGCGACGGGCTGCTGAGCTCGGACTGGGTGATAACAGTGCTAACAGTCATCGTTTCAGTACGATGTTGACTCACATGGCTGCTTGTTTTTGTCCAGAGGGGCAAGGAGGAGCTGAGGGAGGCAACAGCCTTGCTGACAGCCCAGCAGACGTCCTTAGAGATCATCGTCAACATGTGCTGCTCTGACGGTGAGTGTTGTGGGCATGGACAGCAGTGTTGACCGCAGGCACTGTTCATCAACATTATTTCCTATGACAACGCCACCCGGGATGTGTTTGGGAAGGCTATTATAACATGAGATGCATGAAATGAGTCGATTTGAGTGCCTAGAAACAGCTTTTTGTATTCTGTGTTGGCAGTGATTTTTTTTTCCCCCTGATCATTTCTATGTATGTGCGCCCCTTAAGACCCTTCTGACGACGAGTGGGAGGAGGAGTCGAGCAGCGACGAAAGCGACATGGGTCCGGATGGACTTTGTGATGGAGTGTCCAATCTTATGTCTCCACTGTGTTTGTCAGCCGAGGTTCACTCAGCCTTGATCAACCACAGCATCCCTGAAAAGGCAAATACCTGTCTGCTTCATCAGTAACACCTCACATTGGCAGCGGCCTATTTCTTTAAGAAAGGAGGAGTTCATCACGGTGTGAGAATGTTTAGACAAGCATGGGAATCTTTTTAAGCTCCCATTTCTGTATACTTTGCTGTGAACCCCACCCATCTTTTACCTGAGGCTCAACGGATTGAATTACTTAACCTGTGCAGCTGAATACACGTCTCTCTCTCTCTCTCTCTCTCTCTCTCTCTCTCTCTCTCTCTCTCTCTCTCTCTCTCTCTCTCTCTCTCTCTCTCTCTCTCTATATATATATATATATATATATATATATATATATATATATATATATATATATATATATATCTATATCTATATCTATATATATATATATCTATATCTATATCTATATCTATATATATATATATATAGATATATATATATATATATATATATATATATATATATATATATATATATCTATATATAGATATATATCTATATATAGATATATATAGATATATATATATATCTATATATATATCTATATATATCTATATATATATCTATATATAGATATCTATATCTATATATAGATATATATATATCTATATATAGATATATATATCTATATCTATATATATAGATATAGATATATCTATATCTATATATATATATCTATATCTATATATATAGATATATCTATATCTATATATATAAAAGCACTTATGCAACCACACTAAATGGTATAAACGTAATGTCTTTTTTTCCCTCTTGACTCAAGGTCCTTAAAAAGACAGAGTTCCCCAGAAAGGAAGCCATGGATGTGTGCCATCAGAATCCCTCCTGGAGAAACCTAATAAAAAAGTAATCCTCTCACGTCTCGTCCTTTAACTCAACTTTCTGATCTAAGCTGTCTATGCTTGAAATACCTTAAGCATCTTCACTCTGGTTATGATTTACTCCTGAATGAAACGTCTCACTGCTCAAAAGCTGTCAAAAGCCGTCTTTTCTTCTTTCCTTTAGGATGCACCGTGTGCAGTCCCGGGCGCTGACATGCCTCCACAGCATCCTCTCCACAATGGATGCCGAGTCTCTGGGAGGAGCGGCAGCCCTGCAGGGTGCAGCGCAGCACCTATCCATGCTAGTTTTTGGTGGAGCAGGTCTCGCATTTTTGTCATATTGTGATACAGCACATAGGTCACGTTTAGTATTTCTAATAGGTTTTATTTTTCATTAAAATAAACAAAATACTAACTCTGATTCATGATTTGGAAACCATATTGTGTTGAAATGTGAAAAGCACTATTAAGTGTAGACAAATACATTTCTAGAATGATCAGCTGGGGCAGACCCTATATTGAAGCCTCTAAAGTAACTAAGATTCACTTTCTAATGTTTTCAGAGATACCCAAAGATGAGGAGTTCCTAGAGGCCGTCATCAGCGCCATGCGGTCCCTTTTACAGATGATTGCCTCCAAAAATATCTCCCAGGTACAGGATACACCACAGCCTTTCCTGATGACATTATCAGGGTTACTTTCTTTTTAGACTTTGGAAAACTCCTTTAGAGACATTAAATTGCTGTTTGACAAGAAAACTGAACTTGTTTAAAAGTAGTGGAGGGCCCCTTTAACAAACTGCATGTCCATGTTTGTTTGCAGCGCTTACTGAATAAATACAGAGGCAACACAGAAGCTAGACTTTGTATTCCTGTCAAACATCCACTGACCGTTCACACTAAACACAGTTGACCATGTTTACTTTGGACAGCTCAATATCCGTGTGGTTGTTTTTGTTAGTGTATGACCCCCCAGCAGCTGATGAGCCTGAGCGAAGCAGCCACCCGCTGTGATGTTGTCAGTGTGAGGGTCAATGCCGTCGCCATTCTAGGCATCACCGGAAGCACATTAGCCAAAGAGAAGGGCACTGCCGAAACCCTTCAGGTATAATTTTCTTTCTTTTCTTCTCTTGGAATATTTGTTCTTCCTCTGAGAAACTCTGCCTCCCACAGATGATTGGAAACGCCTTACTCGAAGTTGCCACAAGGGATGCCGACCTGGTTGTAAACGGAGAAGCCCTTGACGCCTTGTTTGATGTTTTTGCGGATGGAGACGAGGCGGAGACGGCTGCTAAAAACATCCAGTTACTACCTGCACTGAAGGCCCTTCAGCCTGTCTTCAAGGCCAAGGTAACAGAGAACAAGAACACTGTTCTTGTTGATGTTTCACAATTTCCAAATGTGTTTTCAGGATTAATAACCCATCCATTCCACTATTGATCATCTTTTTCTCCCTCTTGCAAATGGATTTACACACGATGGCTTTGCAAATTTTAATAAACAATAGTTCAGTGCCTGTGTCCCCTTGTTTTAAGAAATAAACAAGAAGACAAACATTGTCTCATTTTTCCTTAAGATAAGAAGAATGTGTCACATTTTAATAAGAATTTATTTTCTTTTTATAATAGATTCGTAAAGAAGGAAGAGGCAAGTACAGCCCGCAGCAGCTGTGTGTGTTAGACAACATCAAAGTCAACTTGAGAAGATTCATTGGTTATCTGGAGAAGGTCGTAAAAAAATGAGGACTTTGAGTACTTGACATTGTGATCAGTTGAACCTGTACAGTTTGGACAGATATGCTTGCAGGAGCATAGAATGAAACAGACTATGGTTGTTAAACCATCAACTATTTATTATGTTGGTAGTAAACCACTTTCCCCCTGCATGGTTTCAATGTTAATATTTTCTAAATAATGATTTACTATTTTACTTTTAGTGATGTGAAAAATTTGTTGTGAAGAAAGACGGGGTGACATCTATCATTAGTTATTAGTTACTGCAAGATGCAATAAAGAGAGGTTTTTATGTCTGCTCCCTCAGTTGGTCATTCAACCCAAAATGGTTGTCACACTTGAATTTGTATATTTTCATGTCCCCCAGTAACCTGTTTATAAGCTCAGGTGTGGAGAACTGACACCTGGCTTTAACATGTGTACCCTTATTTTTGTCCCATGTTTCAATGGACCCAAACACTGATGTTTGCAGTTCTTCTACAAGGTGTAATAGGCAGATCTATTTGAAATTGCAGGCCCTTATAGGAAGGATTGTACTATCAGCTACTTCATGAATAGTGTGGATATTGTGTAATAGAATCCTAATTTTGTTGAGAAAGAAATTGGCACTTGCTTAAAGAAAAAAAAAATTACATTGTCATTTCAGTAACTTACTAAGCTGACCACGTTTGGCACACTCACTGCCAAGGTTGAGATTAAATTAGTGTATTAAGTTTATTAAGACCTTTAGGAATACGCACATATTCTCTACCTCTACCTCTCTGTGCTTCCTCCACCTCCCATCTATGCGAGGCACTGCTCCTATGCTGACACTGGTAACTTATGAACTTTTTCTGTCTGCAAGTCACCACAGCAGCCAACTTTTGTATCATAAAGTTAATTGCCCAAACTGAAAATAGATTGGGTGTCACTAACACCAATAATGTAATAATCAGCCAGCCTCCAGAATTTCTGCTGCAAGTGACGGTCCTACTCTAAACTCTCCAGGTTTGAAAGAACGTAAATCCGGGATCTGTTTTGCACCGGATCCAAAGTTTATCATGCTTTTAGTAACTGACAAATTCAACTCATTAGCTTTCATTAATGCAGGAAATGGTAAAGATTCAATGGTGACATGCACCCGTGAATGGCATTTACCTAAATGTCAAAATAAACAGAGTGATAGTCACTCTGTCAGTCAGACACAGCTTCTCTGGGTTCCCACAACTTTTCAGGGGAATGTCGACTAAAATCGCATATCATTGATTTAAAAAAAAAAAAACGAGATAAATTTGAGGGGAAATATGTCATAGACTATGAATTGATGTGTTTTTGAAATAAATCCTGATTTCGTAAGCCTTCTTAAGTGTTTGTTCTCTTGTATCACATGAACAATTTTTGGGTAATTTTTATATCTGCTGATGGGGAGGTGATGGCATAGGTGACATATCCTCCAATGTGTCCCTGAGCAAGACACTTAACCCCTAGTTGCTCCAGAGGCGTGCAACCTCTGACATGTAAAGCAATTGTAAGTCGCTTTGTATAAAAGCGTCAGCTAAATGAGTAAATGTTAATCTACTACCAAATGTAGTTGCTGAAAAGGAAGCTGAACCATGACCGCTATTCAACAGTACTTTAGTTTGATGCTAAATATTATTGCTACGTATAAGGAATTCCTTAAAAGTTAACAATATACAGAATAGGCTTATAGTCGCATAATAGTTTAAAAGAAAATGACGTGTGATATATTTAGAAGTGGTGGTGAAGCAACCAGCTATTAATAAGTACATTGACAGAAAAATAATAAAACCTTAAGATAAGTGATGTTAACTGTTCCAGCTTCTAAAATGTGAGGATATGCCCCTTATTGTAAATTAAATATCTTAAGGTTTTAGACTGTTGGTCTAAGATTTTACCATGGGCAGCTGTGAAATTATAATAATAATTATTAGAAAATTATTATAATTATTTGTAGTCTGAAAGGTTAATGGAAAACCTCCCAAAATAATTGACCGATTAATTGATAATGAAAATAATTGTTAGGTACTACAGCCCTAAGCATTTTAATATTATCTAGCATAATATGTGATGTGCATTTACATCATGTGAGTTGTTTAAACAAATATGGGTACAATCTTGGGATATGTTGAATAGGCTAGAGCAAACTTTATGACTTTGATAATAAATCAGATGCTGTTATGTAACATGAAACAGTCGTCTGTTGCGCAAGAGCTGTATCCCCGCCCCCTTTTGCTCGCGCATGCGCATTATTACAGTACTCGCCGCCATTGAGGGACCCACGATCAGGAGGGTCAGAGAGACACTTCGACAGGCAGCAGCTGCACGTTTCTCCTGTCTTCAACCTCAACTTTGGCTTTAGCTACCATTTTTAACACTTGACTCGCACTGCTGTCTTATTTCCCGCGGATGACTTTGGTTGACAGCTGTGTGTATCGTCGCCAGTAAGGGACGTGTTTTTATCGGATTGTAGGAGTAACGGAGAACCTCAGCTAGCGGCTGCTATAACGAGGCTATTGCAGGCTAGCTAACGTTAGCTAGCGACCTGGCTAGCTGCACACGAGCTGAGCAGTGCTCGGTGCTGGTGGGGGGGCGGGGGAAGCGGTCTGCCTACAGTGCCGTTTGATGGATCCGAGAATCGCCTGGTTTCAACCAGAACAACGTGGACCCGCTAACAACCTGTGGATGCAGATTTGGGAGACGACACAAGGGCTCGGGTACTTGCACGTCAATAACAGCTACACCGCTGTCAGCATCGCGAGCCTGAAAGCTACCGTCATCGGGGCGTCTGGAGCCGTCCTGACAAGCAGAAACGGGGCACTTGACTCAAACACCGGTAGCGGTGAAGCCAGGACTGTGGGGATGTCGACGTCAAGGGGGAACGGAGAAATGTCGGAACAGCGGGACTTTATACCGCTGGAAACCAATAGCAACCACAACAACCGAGCCGCTGGCAGGGGCGGTGTCGGCGGAGTGGGACAGCAGCAGCAGCAGCAGCAGGGCAGCGGGGTCGCTGTGCTTTGGAGGGGGCTGACGGACGGACACCCCAACAAAAGGAAAAGAGACAACAAAGCTAGCACTTTTGGATTCAATTTCAGCCTCTTGAACAGCGGCTCCAACACAGGGGACTACGATGGTTATACGGGCACACCATGGAAAGTCAGGAACTACTCAGAAGGAATTATAGGGTAAGAGAGCGTTTAATAAAGTTCATTGGATCTGCTGTCTTGCCCTCAGAGCGAGCCTGTGTGAACTAGGAGTTAAGTTATAGTTATTTCACACATATCAAACAATTTTACACTGGGCTGACGAGCAGGGAGAGGACTGAGGTTGTCAGTCTGACCCCACCCACCTTTTCATCCCCACCCATAGGCTCAACAGTTGGATAACTTCGTGTATCTAACACAAACATGCATTACCATGAAACGAAAGTGAGTCTATGCACTAATGAGCACGCAGATGACAAAGCATGACATTTTACACAGCAGGTTTATTCATTCAGGTATTCATTACATCAAATGAAAAGTATTTGCCTAAAACAAGTAGAGTGACTATTTTATTTCAGTTTAGAAGAACATATAGTGGATTATAAGAAATTATGCATCAGGCACATTGTATTCTAGGTAACCTTTTGGAAAAATACATGAACAAACACAAGTTGAAGCAGATCTTTAATCATCCAGGAAGTTTATTCATTTTGTTTTTGTTGCTGCTGGTTTTTGAAAAGTGGAGGAATCCGCACACTTGACCTTTGCACTGAAACAGATCATGCATTTGGGTATTACTGTAGAAACAGAGAACAGGACCGCACCAGGCCATTTTATTCCGGGCATGCCTACATTGTGGTGTTCATTAAAGGGTTACAAAGATCATGGACACAGTACACTACTAGTAGGTAAGGTTTGTATTTTAGTAAACTGGTCTGTCAACAACAGCTTGTTTTAATGGAGAGAGCCAAGAGAAAACATGGAGGACTTAACAGGGTGCTTCCCCAAACAGCAGTGACACTTTTATGAGATGTGTGCCACTTCATTCTTCCTCCTCCAGCCTCCCTAAGCCCACAGATATTTGGCAGTGGTTCAGAGGAAATCACAGCTGTGTCGCACTGCTTTTGAACACAGTGTTGTGAGCAAAAGTCAGCAACTTCGCTATGACCTAAAGCCTTTTTAAAGTAAAAAAAAAAATGTACAAGCAGGAAGCTGTGCATTGTAAACGCTCAGCTCAGATAATAAAAATGCATGAAGTCATGACACTGCTGATTAATAGCAGGCAAACAAATATTGTGGGATGATAACCAAGTCTTAACCAGGCTGGCGAACCTGGAGTGTTGTTGGGGGGGGGGGAGTCTCAGGCCCGTTGCGTGTTCTCATGCCAGGCTCCACAAACATACATATGCACCCACAAACCTCCGCAATTACAGCGTTGTTGTCATGTCTCTCGAAATTTAAAACTATGCGGCCATGCAGACTGCACATGCCTTCCTTTTTATGACTGGCTTGTTGATCAGTGGTACCTTCAATCAAATCACAAACCGCCTCCATTCAAAACACCTATAAACAAGAGATGTTATTCAGTTTTCTCCCCGGGGACTACGGTTATCTTGTGCAATGCCCCTGTCAAATAAATACATAAATCAAATAGCTAACGGTATAAAGACGATAAGAACAAGGAAGCTAGGAGAAAACGACACACATGCTGTACAACTGCGAAAAACAGCAGGCACTCTTGTTTGTTTTTCTTTCTGTGTACTTACTGTGACCACAGCGTACATCAGTTTTGGAGTCAATAATTGTTGCAGACGGTGCACACAAACCTGCAGAAGAGATTGCGTGCGGAGAGCTTTAACCGTGTTGGCTAACCAACATGCATTAATGACGGGACAGAGTGATTCTTCTAGCTAACTCAGTCTTTGGGATCATTCAACATTCATGAACTGATATGTATTAAAATCAGCTGTAAAGTGCTTGTAGTTAGGTCCTTCGTGAAGACCTGTAGTTGTGATCAGCCACAGCTGCCATTTTTTTCAAGCAAACTACAAACTGTTGAGAGAGCTAGTCTTTTAACATTTGGCAACAGTATCAAATCACACAGTATAGTAAACGCACAAGACATTTATTAACTTATAACAACACCAGGGTACTTCCTCGCCAGTTTTTTTTAAAGATAGGTTAACTGGGGAGAAATATTTCAGAGGGTGGGGCTCCTGTTTTAAAGACCTTTTACGTGCAGAGATTTGCCCACTTCCCCACCCCTTTCTGTTAAACATGTGTAGACAAGCAGAGTGTGGAGCTCAGTCTTTGGCTGATCCTCATTTATAGTAATATGGAAGCTCTGTGTTTGCACAAGGACATTCTTTAGTGATTAACTCTGCTAATACCAGAACATGAACCTCAGAGCCTTGATCACACTCAACACGACTGAGTGGTCTCTGTCTAACCAGGCTCTGGCAATTCACAATGCCACAATGTGGGATGTATAGAAGAGTGATAAACATCGTGTTCCACGGTTGGTAATAGCACAAAGGATATAGCGTCTGCCATCAGCCAAATGGAGGATACTTTTAGTCATTTACTGCAGTATGCCTTGCCATCACGGTGGTAGCATTGAGCCATGTGGTGTTTTTATTTTTAGTGTCATGCATTTGGGTGCTGGGAAAACGATTAGGTTTGTCAATTTGAGGGGTTTGTGAAGCGGGCAGAGGTAAACCTGGGAATCAGTGTTGCGTTTGAAGTGAACAAGTAGCAAACAGGGTGACTGTGGGAGTATGTTCAAATGCATTTTTCCACGGGACGGTCTGTACACTATATTTGGCCATGGGGGTTGGCCAGAGAGGCAGAGGCATGTGCTTATTTGTGTTTTACGCTCCTCCAGTTTATCTGGAACCGAGGAGGTCCAACCAAGCAGCCCGCCTCATGATGGAAAAGGATCTGTGTTTACATGCTCCACACGGCCTCACTTCCACAAAACAAAGCCAACCCTCTCAGAGAGAAACCCGAGCCCCTCGGTATCTGTCCAATCAGACTGGGAGTTCTAAGGGAGTGTTTCCACCTCATTTTCTGCTCTTGCAGAATGGTCATTTAGATTCTTTATATGGGCACAGGAAGTCAGTGTAGCTTGGCAGAGCTGTGGCCCATTTCTGTCCTGCTGAACAGCGTTCTGATCTGGTGCGGTGGGATTTTATTGTGTAGGCAAGATGCAATGTTCCAAAGTTCCAGTCATTTTATAACAGAGAGGCATTGTGAGAGGATGGATTCAGAGTCATGGGTGGATTTACTAGATGGATCCGCTGTTATATGTAGTAGCAGGTCATCATGTACAAAGTGTTTTATAGTTTATCCATGGAGCAAAACGTTCTCATATAAAGTGTCCGATTTTTAAAGATTGCCTGAACCCTGATTCCCTTTTGACCTCCACACAGCTGTCCACTCATGAAGTAGGAGTTAATGTCAGATTGTCACTTTCAGGAAGTTACTGATATAGTTGGACACTGAAACACTGTCTTGATCTTCAAAGGGATCACCATAAAGGTGTAGCTAATGCAGTTTCATACACTGCTTCTTTGGTAAAGTCAAGGTAGCTAGCATGTTATATAGAATTAATACTTCTGTTCTAGTCCCAGCACACACATTTTGTGAGATTCGTATTGTGAGAAAATGCCAGAAACACAAGAAAATATGATGGGAGTAGGACTAATGGTAGCTAATTGTAAATAATGTACCATTATCTACTGTAAAGCCTAGTTTACACTATACAATTTTTAGCCAGATTTGCCGGTCAGCGAGCTCGGCGACCGTCAGGCTGCGATCAGGGGTAAATCAGCGATCGGTCAGTGGCTGCCAGTCGTTATGTGTCAACCACTCAAAGACATCACTGACACATAGCAGACGCCAGCCAGATATCTAGCAGACCAAATATATGGAAGAGTCGGCCGACTCTACATCCATATCTAGCCAATGAGAGCAGGCAGCTACTTTTCACCGCAAAACACTTTTTACTCACCTCATGTGAAACACTTTTCTCCTGTGGCCCAAAATGGTAGTAATGACAGAGCAACCTGCACTTGATTAATATTAGTGGAGGCTGGTATTGGCGGCCAGTTTTGGGTGGTGAAGCAGAACATCACTTGCAGGCTAATGAAATGTGTGGTTAAGCGCTCACTGATGAGCCCTGGCTCATGGTTTTATTGCCGCTGTCTTTAAGAGATTTATGACTCCCAGCACTAGCACACAGATAGCACCTCTGTGACTAAAGCTCCATTATTAGAACTATGGTTCATCCAGCCTCTACTGGCTGTGACATCTATGTCACGCTCCCCTTTCTCGCTGCTCACTGGCTGGCACTCTGCCAAAAGTATGTAGGCCTGTGGAGAGAGAAGCCTGCCTGCAGGTCTGTTGGACTGTAGGTGAAACAGGCCCCCTCTGAACAGCACGTGTGGGCAGCTCTCCGTAACTCATCCTTCCCATGTGTAGTGAGGAATGTGTTTTTCTTTTTTTTCCTCTTCTTTTCCAATGGAGACCCATCCCATGCTCCAGCCTGATGTTTTTTCCCCAGAGCGTGTGTTCAGATTGTGACCTTCTCACCACGTGTACAGAACGACTGGGCTTTGACAGTTTGTTTAATGTAGCTTAATTGTTAATAGTTCATTCTGCTTTTAAGGCTGCACCTAACGATTATTCTTTTATCGATTTAATCTAACGACTAATTTATTGATTATACTAAAGATTATTTTTAATTACTTGGTTAATATAACAATAACATAAAATAAATATCAAAAACATGTCTCATTAACAATTCAATATTTTATTCATCCTGTTAATAATGATGTTTTAAAATTTCCTACTTAGTATTTTTACTTAAGTACTCGACATAAAACTGGTTAAAATGGTTATGATGTCGATATATAATATCACGTTGTGCAAATCTCTGTAATTTTCGGAAATTTCCGTAATCGATTGTGGCGATGAATCGCACCGGCCCTAACTGCGTTAGTCTTGCTATAAAATCACATTAACAGTATTGGTAAGCTGAGCAGGACTGGACGGGGCGGAGTCACGCGACATTGAACCTATTTCACGTCAAGAAATATAATGGACAAATGCAATTAATTTGGAACAATGTTAGACATTGTAACTGTAATACATATGTTGTGAATTGTCTCCTATTAAATAGGTTATTACTTGGCTACTGA